CAAGATTTCCTAAATTGTCCAAGAATGAGGTACTTCTGGTTGACCTAGAACTATTTAGTACCTACAGGTGGACGTGTAGTAGCTACTAAGTATAATTTTTTTGAAATAAGTTGAAATTATTTTGTAGGTACCGAATGGATAAAATAAGTTACTCTTATCCATAAGACGTAGAAAAAATCTGGCATCTTATTGGATGGGGCCTGATTCGTGGTGGAAATTTAATGACGGACCAGAACTGATTTTTGAATACAAAACAAATTACTAAAATTATGCACAAATTTGAGAATTTTTTAAACTTTCCCACCCAAGGCTTGACGCCCTCTATAAGCGATGTCAACAGCTGGACATGCGCAGTGCATGAGTACTCGTAGCTACAATACGGATTATTCCTATTAATTGATTTATTAATTAAATAAGGTTGTGCAGATAGAAATTTTGATTGTGCAATTAAGTTCGGATAATGTGCAGTTTATTAAAACTGTGTGCAGTTGCAAATATGCCTTTGTTGCCGAGATATCACTATCCAACTGCGTCCTGCAAATCGCAAATATTTTTTTATTTTTTTATGCAAAATTGAGGCATGTGCAGATCCAATTATTTGCATAAATGAAATGTGCAGATAAAAACACGTCGCCTAGTATTTTTTTTATTGCATAAATCGATAATTTGCGTGCTAGCTTCCAGGTGGTTACTGTTTCTTCTTACGTATATCTTTTTTATTTCTTACTCCTGTGGGCGATTATTCTTGTTTGATTGGTCCTGCTAATGAGCTGCTCGCGATTAGCCCTTGCAATTTTGAAACACGCGTATGCGTATACTATCTTTCTGTTCTTGTATCAAACCAGCTTTTTACTTTCGCTCTTTTCCTTATATTTACTGCTTTTGTGCATCTCAATGAAGACGAATATAGGTATATATATATTAGTGTTTTGTCGAGACTAAAGCACTGTTTTAAAGTTGTACGAATTTTTGTATAACTCTCGTAGTGTGATACGGTCTTGTACTCGTACATTAACGAAAAAAAACCAATTTTCGTTGATTTTTAACTGATACTTCATTCAAACCTTACGTTCAAGGGATTAAAATAATGACCTTACGTTTTCATATACTGATGATACAGCTTTGCATTAATGCACTGAATGTTAGATTTGTGTGACGATGTTACTGATTTTGTTAACGTACGAGTACAAGGCAATATAATATTAAGAGTGTTATACGAAAAATAAGTTGCACCGAAAAACGAAAAAAAACATGACCGTTTTTAGATTTTACTTTCAGAACTTTGCAAGGCTAACAATTTATGGAGGATACAGTTCGTTGACATCGTATAAAAGCCTCAGAAATTCCCGAAAAAGTATTGATTGAATACATCAAACTTACAAAATCATTATTTTTATTCAAAGGTAAATTGGTCTAATTGGCCTTTTTTCGGTTCCACCAAACAAAAGTTCAAGAGATTTTTAAAAAAGTTTTAAATTTCCGACAAAAGTCTACGAAATCTCATTTTTAGCGATTTTAATTGCTCCTCTTTAAACAGCTGTAACTTTTGAACAGAGGAACGAAATTTTTTTTTAATCGATAGGATTTGTTCCTAGCTTTTATTTAATCTGAGTTAGAACACTTTAACTATACAAGCAGCTTATTACTAAAATTTACTTTTACAAAGTACCGTATATTTTTTGATCCAAAATGTTTGTAATAGAATCGCTTTGGATATTTGTTGTGGATAAAATTTGAGGTAGAATTACTATGCAAAATAATTTTTTAACTAACTTTTTTTAGAACGATTCTTTAAGGCATTTTGAGTTTTTTTCGGCAGAATCACCCAGCTGTAGAGTTTCGATGATAACCTGATTTTCTTTGAACTAAATTTGAATCGAATCTTCTACAAAAAAAAAAAAAGAAAAAAAAAAATTTAAAGGATCGAAGAACTAAAGCTATTCTGTAAAATACTAAACTTACTACTATATATATATATATATGTATG